ACGAGAAATCTGAGGAAAATACAAAATCTCGTATCCGAGATAAAGTGATGCCATTCTATTTTATGAAGGCCACTTCTGAACAAAACCAAAAGTATCAGGTTTCGTAGTGCTTTGTTCAATCTTGTAAAGTAAATCAAAACCCCATTTTATTTTTTTTCTTTGTTGAGATATTGCGGAAATAGTGCGTGGGTAGATAGGAGTATTTGATAATTTTACACCAACCTTGAAAACGTTTCCATTACTACTCAGCAACGTTTCAACCGTCCTGGCTGAAATTCTCACCAGAGATTGAGTAGGGAGTGGGTAGTTATTTGACACGATTTTCGATTTGAAATACCTCGTTAGGGAACATAGTATAGATGCGTTTCTTCTATGTATGAATTAGTCATTTATATACAAAACCGTATCTCACTATTTTGAACAGAACTACTCGTAAACTCGGTCAAAACAATTCAATTTTGGTATCAAACGATTCCTCGTAAAATTCTGCGTCTAGTGAGGTATAAACAAACCGAAACAGACGATGACCCAAAATCGGCACCTTATGCGCCCCTGTCCATTCAAGTAGTGCAAGGAATCACATCTTGAACTTGAAAAATTAGGTTTTTCGTTCGTTAAAACATTGAAAAATTTTCCCGTTTTTCAGATTGGCAGAATCTCTTGAATGTTCTTATTGTTGATGAATTTTAAGACATGAAAATATTGATTTATTGGTATAGAATGGATTAGAAAAGCGTTTTTCAGTTTTAAAGTCCCAAAAACATTCATATGCTAAGCCCAAATATTAGTTGAATACGCTTTATATGATGTAACTATGGTTTCAAGAGTTGTTTCCTTTAGAGTGTGGACTCTTATGCGCGCGTAAAACGATGATTGGAAATTTATTTTCTGAGATGTTTAATATGAAAATTTGAACTTTTTCTTGTCTATTTTGAGGATTCATGTTTTGAACACTTTCGAGTCATATCATGCTAACTTAAACTATGTAATCTCTAAGCGGATAAGCACTCTTGGATATTTGAGCTTTAGCGTCTTAAAAATTGTTTAAATGAGGATCAAATTCATGAGAACCAATCATCTTTTAAAATACACTTAAATGTCTCGAATCTCTCATCGACGATGAATCATCGCTCAAGTTTAAAATACTATTTTATTATATAGAATATCAATTGATTTGATTTTTTATCTCGAAATTAATTAATTGAGAATTTCTCTTGTTGATTAGTTGTTTGAATATCTCTCAAAATAGATGAGTTTTTACTAGTTAGAAATTCAGATTATTTTCTAATTAAAGAATTTCATTCGACTTTGGAAGTTCAGCTCTGAGTTAAAAATATTTAATTTTCCGCTCTGATTTACATTAAGAAAATCTTCTGACAATTGCTGAAAAATTTTCGCAAATGTAAGTCGAGTTTTCTCCGATAGTCTTCTCAAAAATATTGTTATCGTCTAAAACCGGTCGAGTTTACAATATTATTTTAAAATAATTTCATCATTAAAGAATAAATTAGGAAACCCTCTTGATAAAATAGTTTGTTCTATCCATCGAACTGTTAAATCTCGACGCATCACAAAATGATGAATTAGAAAAATCAACGAAGGAGTCCAGATATTCACAGAAACAACATTTTCTTCTTCGACTAAATAAAAACAAAAACTATTTCGCTGACTTGTTAAATGATGAAAATACGTTCTGTAAACTTCTTATTTTTTCTTGATGAATATTTATCTGCTCAATTTGTATTTTAAGATTTTTGCATTTTCATCAATTTTCTAATCATTTTTCCATTGAACAGTTCATGCTGAGAGCAAATATATTCAATCAGTAGTTATATATTTTTGTGTTTTCCAAAAAACTATCATTTCACTCCACTTATGAAAATATCGAAGGCGCCTTTCATAGCAACATTATTACATGTCTCAAAGTCTTTCTATTTTATTGTACAGGACCCACTGAATCTCTAATGAAAATTAAATGCACAAAATGCCCTTGTTTCATTCTTTGTGACCATTGGAGTATAAAAGATTCTATTAGCAAATAAATGACATCTCATTCGAGAAATTTTGAAACACTCACTCTAAAAAATGCCATGCGTCTAACGTCTAGTTCAGACACGAGTTAGACGTGAGATACGACTTAGTTTTAGACATGTAGTTGTAATAGACAGTAACGTGTCTTGATATATTCTTCTGATAGAAGTGTTAAAGTAAAACTATTAATGCCCTCTTTCATTCTACGTATACAATCGTCAGGCACTGTTGGTCGTTGATGTCGTCCAACAGTTTATGTTTATTTACTTTCTTTGTTATGCGTAATTTATTATAATACATGAAAAAAAAATGATATAATACTGGTTGAGTTACAATTATTTTTTTTTAAAGAAAAGATATAATTTTTATGGTAGACTGTATGCAGAGATTTATTTAATTGTCGATATTCATCTAGGTGACGTATGCTTTGTTTTTAATCTTTTTAAGTATTTCAAATTATTTTCTTCGAGACACTTACAATGTTTCTTGTTACACTAGCTAATTATGTTTCTTGAGACTATCTATAATAGCATATATATGATGTATAAATTTTATTCTAATTTTCTTTTCATTTACTTTTAGATTTGTTGATATTTGGTGGTGTTCTTATCCCATCGACGTTTATTTTCATACAGTTGAAATTTATAAATAGTATAACTCATAATACAATTATAGTTTTGCTGCATTCGTCTCTATTCAAGTGTTTTCTTTTTATTATATTGATCTAGTCTTGCGCAATATTTGAAATGGATTATAAAGATATAAATGAAAATAAAGTTTATTTTTCATTCGTTTTTCATATAATATTTCGAACTTTATTTTTTTTCTAAATAATATTGTAATTGTCGTTGTCGATAGCACCTTGGTAACAGTTTATTTAATAACTACAATATTCTGCAAGAATACTTTAAACGAAAGTAAAATACAAATTTAATTTGCACTAGATTGGGCAAGAACTTTGAATCCTACGAGCAATAGAGAATACGATAAGGTTCACATGTTTATTTGATTTTAGTTGTAGCATTTTTTTAAAATCCGATAAATGCTCTTTACATTTCCACCCATATATTTGTCCAGTTTTAGTCTTTTTAGAAGTTTCATCTAATGTATAACTTAGTTATTTTAGAATTGATACGCCTCAATATGAACATTAAATATGAGTTAAAATACTTTTCATAAGCTAATATTTTTATTTCCATGTTTCACTTATTTTAGAATTTTATTCAACATGCGAAAATATTTTTTTAATATGCTGAATAGAATTTTAGAATAAGTGAAACAGGAAAATAAAAATATTAGCTTATTAAAAGTATTTTCACTTATATTTAATGTTCATATTGAGACGTATCAATTCTAAAGTAACTAAGTTATACATTAGATGAAGCGTCTAAGATAAACAGACAGATACAAGACGCTTACGTCATTGGCCAAAATTAACCAATAAAAAAAATTAAGACATGCCAGTGTCTAAAATCGGTTATCCGTTGACACTTGAGGTGTCTCAGTTAGACGCTCCGCGACCAATCACAATTTGCTCGAAGTGTCTTGTTTGAACACATGATCCGTCTTGTTTATACACTTCATGTGTCTTAATTTTTTAGAGTGATATCCAATTCATTGTTGACGACATATCTAAAGTTCATGTCGTTATCGAGTTAAACCCCCGAGACACTAGAGCACCCGTGGTCTTCTATTGTCTTATCGTTCATAAGCTACCAGGGAGTCTACTTTATTATTTTCCTTAAAAAAGTGAAAGTTTTTGGTGATCTTAACAAAAACTCCTAATTTGGACCTTTTTTTCTCCAATACATCGTCAGTAAATATTTTCATTTTGCTTATGCCTCGATTATACAATGGAAAAGAGTGGTATAATGTTTTCGCGCAAAAATACCATACTGTGAACTTCTGCTGGAATGTATAACATCGGTATTTTGTCAAACACGAACTGAAAGGAATGTTGAAGTGTCTATAGTCAAAAATTTACACTCCCATGGATCGTGACACGCGAACTTGGAAAGCAATATGTCTGAGTTCCACAGAGTTTGGAGAAAAAGTTTTTTTCTAATTTTTGAAAGAAAAGAATGATTCGTTGCAGTGGAGTCACAATTTTGATATTTATGTTGAATATCATGTCCAGTAATATTTTAATAACAAATGAATCAGAGAATTTAAAGATCTTGCTGGTTGAAAAGTTATCCATAGAAGAGAGCTTCGATTTCAAAATTATTCATACCCATGTTTCTCTTAAAACCATAGAACTATTTTGGTTCTGTTGGAAGCTACAAAAGAAACTGAAAGTTTAGTTTAGTAAGGTATATCGGGCTCTATCCTTTAGCATTCATATTTCTCAATAGTACCAGCCCATATTGAAAATTTCATCCAAAGCTATATCAATGATTTTTGTGAGGGCATGTCCCTCATCTCAAAAAATTTCATTCTTATTCAAAATTCAGTATATCTCCAAAACTGAAAAATTTTCTTTTAAATGTATTTCTAATGCATACTTTGTCAAATCCTAAAATCCCTCGGTAATCACAAACGTGTCATAAAAGCTATTTTATTTCTATTATAGATTAATATGAAATTCTCGATTTTTAGACACGAAATGATTAATTTGAAGACGCTCAACATGTCTAATAATAATTAGTATATTATGAAATCACAACAAATATTGCATAAGAAGTATTGATTGTCAAATTAAGCTCCATAATTTACAGTAAACTACGGATTTTTTCGATATAAAACACTTTGATGGTGCAATTAACTGTTTGTTGGCAAAAGAAGGAAGAAAATCGAAATATTACGAGCTGTTTTATGATCTGAGTCTTCACTGATTTCCGCATTTTTTTCTTTTTAAGATAAAACGTTGCATGGCGACAACGACACATGACGCAGTTTGCTGCAAATGCACAAAAAGAAAAAGTATGGTAACATGTATAGGATGTTCGAAAAATTTTTGTCTAATTCACATGAATGAACATCATAATGAATTGAGTGAACAATTGAATCAAACTGAAGATCATTTTAATGAATTAAAAATGGAAATCGATGCGCAAAAAAGAAATCCATGCAACCATACATTTATGAAACAAATTGATGAATGGGAAAATCAGTCCATCGAAAAGATTCATCAATTAGCAAATGAAATTCGTCTAGAGTTATCATCAAATGTTACTAGATTTGCTACTGATTTGGATACAAAATTGAAACAACTGACAAAAGAAGTAATTCAATGTCGTCAAGAACAAGATTTTATTGATACAGATATTCAACGTTGCAATGAAGAACTCAAACAATTGAAAGATACTCTCAACAGTCCACCAGATTTCATAATTGAAAATGAACAAACATCTTTTATCAATAAAATTCGTCTTTCATTAAAAGGTAAAAGTGTGGATTATCAATTCTTCCTTAAAAATCGAGAGTCACTTTCTTTTTCTCATTCTTTTCGGTTCTTGATATAAATACTTCAGTTCTTCACATTATATCTTATCATAGAATTTCTCATGGCTAGGGCCTTCACTTTAAATAATGTTAAATAAAATGACTGGGCTTTGTTTTTTTCTCTCTATAAAACATTCCACTCTGAGAGAAATAATATGAGATTGTCGACGATTCTCGAAATCTGCAAGTGTTGATTAATTCTTTATTCACGTATGAATACTATGTAGAAGGATATTATGTGAATATACCCAATATGAAATGATTTTATTTGTAAACGAAATGGAAATGATAATAATAATAGATAGTGAACTAGTAGTTTTAAGTTTTAATTTTCATTATCCATAATAATACACGTAATTTCGTTTATTTCATCATCATTTTTATTAAATTTAGTAACTCTGAATGCAAATACAAAGTGGATGAAAAATGGTGTCACCGTGGCTGGAGGAAATGGACAAGATAATGGAATGAATCAACTTTCAAACCCACATAGTCTGTATGTTGACGATGATCAAACTGTTTATATTGCCGACTTCAGTAATAATCGAATTATGAAAGTGAAATACGGAGAAACGATTGGTGAGGTTGTGGCTGGTGGAAATGGGCAAGGAAAAAGTTCTAACCAGTTGTCTAATCCGACAGATGTGATTATTGATAAAGTAAACGATAGTTTTATCATTTGTGATTTTGGGAATAAACGGGTAGTTCGATGGCCACGTCAAAATGGTAAAAATGGAGAAACAGTCATTTCAAATATTCGATGCCACGGACTGACAATGGATGAAAACCGGTTTCTTTATGTTGCTGATTCGGAGAAACATGAAGTTAGACGATTTCGAATAGGAGAAAATAAAGGAACAATCGTTGCAGGTGGAAATGGATCAGGAAATCGTCTTGATCAATTGTATTATCCAACATATGTATTCGTCGATCGAGAACATTCAGTATATGTATCTGATCGTTGTAATCATCGTGTGATGAAATGGATGAAAGATGCGAAGCAAGGTATGATTGTGGCAGGTGGTCAAGGTCAAGGAAATAGTCTTACACAATTATCACATCCTGATGGGATTTTCGTAGATCAGTCAGGTAACGTCTATATGTCTGATCGATGGAACGATCGAATAATGCGTTGGTGTCAAGGAGCTACACAAGGAAGTGTTATTGCTGGTGGAAATGATCGAGGAAATCAATTGGATCAATTCTACGGTCCTATTGGCTTATCATTTGATCGAGAAGGTAATATGTATGTGACTGAAGATAACAATCATCGAGTACAAAAGTTTAACAATGATCAAAGTTAATGTTCTTGCAAAACCTTAACATTTTTATTATAATCTCGAACAAATTATGGAGTAAAAATGTATTTTCAAGTCGAATCGTCCAATATTGATTTTGGAATTGTTATCGACGAAAATTGAACTCGATGTTAATTTTTCATAAAATTCTGAAAAAGAATTCCATTTCATTAGTTGTACTTATATTTCAGTGCTCTTGTTTGTATATGTGATTTGATATATTTTGTACTCATTCGAAAAGAAGTGATGATTTTTTTCTTCGTAATAAACGGTTATCGTTAGACTTAAAGGCATTCTTTTACCATATTTCGATGTTAAACATGGTAAGTTTCAATAAGCTCCCAAAACATAAATTTTCTAATTACTGCACAATTAGAAAAATAACCAAAGACATTACTCTAAACGAATTGAAACGGTGTTAGTGGAAAAGAGCAAAAATGAAAACAGCGAAAAGGAAAATAGCGAAAGAAACACAAAGAAAACTTCCATATATGGATATTTTCCTTTTTTTTCGCTATTTTCCTTTTCGCTCTTTTCCACCAAGACCATTGAAACGATTCAGTAGTTGCAAGATGTGGTACTATTATTTGCATATGAAGAAATATTTTAGTCGAAAACAATTAGATGCAATATGGGAAATTGCTTTTTTTCCATCTCATGAAAAGAAAATGACAAGAAATGAATATTGCACATTGAACGATTTAAAATAGACGTCTTACTACCTTGTTCAGATAATCATGATGAAAGATGAAAAGACGAAGTCACTTCATGATTATTAGAGTTTCTGCTTAATCAAAATTAAAGCATCTTCGAAATCGATGATTTATAACTTGCGAGGCTAATTAAAAATAAACTCTTATGTAAACAAAAACAAAAAATAAGAATTAAACCAGTGAAAAATAGTCAGGGACGAAGCCTGATCATCGTGGTAATAATTTATAAACCATAAATTCAAACACTTAGATTGTGCCTTGCACGGTCACACGATGTATTCAGATATTTTATAGTGAGGTGAAATATGTTGTCTGTGTCCCATAATAACGGATTAAAATCACTACTTCTTGACTCTTGATACACTGCATTAAACAATCTGTAGAAAAAACCATCTTGATCGATTTCTAAAAAAATATCATAACATTGCTACTATTACGAGAGAATTCTCATAATATAGGAGAATGAAATATGGGCAGATGTATCTTTGTGCCAAAATGCCAAACAACATTCATATTATTCATTTTATATCTATGGATAGATCTATCAATTTCTTGAAAAAAGAAAGTCAATATATGCCGGATTGACGAGAAGCAGATTAGTTTTATAAATCCATGAAATTTTCTTCTGATTATCATATTAGTCTATATGTCTTCGGTCAGTTGAATCATCAAATTCGACGATTTGCTCTCGAATGAACTATTAAACATTATTCATTTTGTTGTTTTCAATTAAATAAAATAAGATCAATAGAAAATTGAATTTCATATCTGTTAACATGCCGCCAGCTGGGGTCTATTACAGACTAAAATCTTAATCATTTAAATACAATCCAGAGATAAGATTGGTTCGATTCTTTGTTAAATTTATACAATTAAGACAATTTCGTATATATGTAATTCAAGAAATTTGAGTGGAATGTATCACATGTACCGACAGCAATGGTTTTACATGTTCTTCTCATTCCTTGCCACCGATAAAGTTTTTATCTATGTTTCCTATCTTCTATATTGGTCAAGTTTTATGATGCTTGTTGATGAAGTGTGATAGAATAAACTATTTAGTACTCAAAAATGAATAAAATATAAATATAAATCGTGCGTGACAGGAAACATCTGTTGTTTGCAGTCGATTCAGTTTAAATCTTTAAGAAAGCTTCAGACGATATTGTATCTGTTGTAACGCGAAAAAGAGTGTGATGACAGTCTAGTTCTCTATTACATTTTTCAATATCTGTGAATTATTCTTTCAAGATCTATGATCTATAGATATTGAATCATGTTATTCGACTATGTATGAGTTGTCGGAGCAAGCGTTATTACTATGGATGAAACAGTAACGATTAAAAATTGCTCCACTATCACTGTTGCACCCATAACTATTACAAAAATTGAGTATTGAACTATGCCATCATTTTTTAGACATTTTTACATTAACTCTATCATTTCTAAATAAAATTCAAAAACGTTTTTCTTCACAATGAATGATAAACGAAAATTCTATAAAGTTTAATAGAAAATAATATTTTATGTTGCTCTATTGATTGATCATTCATATAAATAATGAATGACAATAATTCTTTTCACATAAATAACAGTGCCGAAAGATCTTTTTTTTTAAATGTAGAAGTTCGACAACTTGTATTCTCGTGACTGATTATCCTGATAAATATATATAGTCTATGTTAGATTTGTGATTTCACATGAAATTCTTTATATTTAAGAATTTTTAGAGATGAGCAAACAACAACTAATGAGATCTGCAAAAATGATTTTCATTATACAGATAGCAGCATACAGTTAGTATTGTTTATATATAAAATGATGAAACAAGAGGCAGCAAAAAAGAAGAGTTACTACTAAGTTAATGTCACACTGTTTGAAGATAATGCAAGCAAACAAAATTGTTGTTTTTTCTTATCATACAATTATTATTGGGAAAGCATTATTCAACGCATTTTATTCAAATAATACGACTCAAAAACACTTTTAAATGATGTAACAACTGCAAACATTTTTAATAATTATTGTTTTAACAATAAACGTTATCATCTATGGACAAGAACTCGATAGGAAATTATGCCCAAATGGAGCTGCTAATATTCTTGATATGAAATGGCCACAAGTTCCACCACGGTTTGAAATTATGACGGAAATAACCACAAAATATGAGGTGGTGGCATTTTCACCAGATCGTGAAACTATCACTGTAACCGCAAAAGATAGTTAATATTTATTTTACACTATATTTTCCTAGTTTCCATTGAATACTATACGATTTTCTATACTAACGAACGATTTGTGGTGAGGAGTGGACAACATCCCCAAAACTCGAGAAATTGTTCCATTAACAGCAGAAATGCTTTAAAAGGAACCGATTTCATATTCTAGCCAATTAATTTCAGCAGACATCATCCAACCATTTATACTGAGATAAAGAGAAATCCAAACGTAACAAGGAGATATCTATGATGTTCTTTTTCATCTTATACGCAGATTTTCACTAGAAGCGGTTATTTTCAAAGCAGAAATGGTAGATTCTTAGGTAGAAATGAATGAACCATATCCACACTCACTAGCAGAAGTTGAAAGGGATTGAGCAGATATCAATAAAATATATGAAACAATCATTGATTTATTTTTCTCTTTAAGGGGATATTCAAGCAGAAACGGATTTTTGAAAGCTGAAATGGTAGATTCTTCCTGAGAAATGGATGAAGTATATTCAGGCAGAATAGTTAATATGTTTGGGGAATGAGTAGAAATGCGTATGATTTCTAGAGGAGGTTTTGATTGTTTGTGACTATAAGGGATGCATTTCTAAAAATTAGGATTAGGAAGAGAATTCATTGATATCTCGAATGCGGTTTGTAAGCTTGAAAGTGTCGTTCAGGTTTAAAATGATCGTTTTTCTCACGGCAAGAATGTGAGTGGTAAAACGTAATGTTTGCATGTTACTGGAAGATACGATAACGATGCGATGGGTTATAACTTCTATTGCAAAAATGATTGGGAACTATGTGTTAAGGTTAAATTTCAAGAGTTCATTGGTTGATGAAACGGATAGATTTGAAGTATATATCTGATGGGCACAATTATTACGGAAGTCTTCGCTGTAGCTTAAATTAATTCATAAAATAGAAATTTACGTTTCTGTCTAACCAACAAATATAACGTTCCGAATTTTCAGTTCCTTATCTTATTCTTATCCCTATTTTATCGTTCGCTTTTTTTCTATTTATACACCGTGTGCAGCCCTCACACACACACACACGCACACACAGAAGAGAGAGAATACAAGGGCAGAAAAATAGAAAATAGATATTTGTGGATTTCTACTAGGCTGTTTGTATTAAAAGATGATGCTACATCATCCGATAAATGCACTTAAATTTAAAGTCGAAGACACGAGGCGATTCAATTTACATCTTCACGGACGGGAGAAAAAAGGAAAAAGAGAGATGGAGAGAGAGAGAGGAGTGATATAATGAAAAAGAACGATTGTAGTATGTGCATACATACAAGAAAACATGACAACATAAACATAATACAAGAACGTATAAGAAGTAAATAACTGAAAAGATTTTGTTAGAGTACCCTGTAACAACAGCGTGTATACTCAGACTAATGCGGAGAGATGGAAAGCAATGAGAATAATGTTAATTTCTCTAGAAAAAATGTTTTGGAATTACTGATTGATGCAGACATGTGAGCGATAGATGCTTCGTGAGATGAATGAATTATGCGGTCATATAAAAAGAGAATAGTATTTACTAAGACATGCAGCGGAAAATCGAAGAAGCGACGAGAATAATGTTTGTTTCTATAGGAAAAATGATTCCGAATTATGGATTTATGTAAGCATGTAAGAGGTTAATGCTTCGTGCGATAAATGAATAAGAAGACACAATTCGAAACTGATACTATATATTAGGTGTTCAGCAGAAAAGTGAAAATTAATTAGAATTTTTTCAATTTGTATAGAAAATCATCTGAAATTATACCTTTAGATGTGGCATGATCGAGAATTTATCACTTTTGAAGGGAGCATGATAACAGAAGGGAAGTTGGTGCTCGAAGAACTTAATAGGTTCTGTGAACAATTTGTATGACGAGTGTCCTCCCAAAAAAAGAATGTTAAATATGAGTATGAGAGTGATTTTCGATATTACATAGAGTTTTGGGTAGCCGAGAACAAGTTTTGTAGGCACGAATATCTTTTGTGAATGTAAACAATACAAATGCTCGATATGCATTCACTATACATATATCGGTTTATATGTATATTGTTGGTCG